TGGATTAGCTTTTGAAGGGAAAAAATCAAAAGGTAAAGTGTTTGGTTTAACTTTTATATGTAAAATGACTAAAAAAGACTAAAAAGGACATGGTTTAACTTTTAGATGAGGTTATAAATGTAATTTAATGTTTTAGTTGTGGAAAAGTTAGGAAAAATCACCATTCCGAAAAAGCTTGAATTTACTCTATAGCAAAAATTGATTAAAAAGTCATTTTCATTTTACCCAAACATCTTTTGGAACTTTTTCTAAAAGATAAAGTAAAAATCAGTTTAAAAAGCCAATACAAACACCCTCTTAAAATAAACACAAACTAACAAAAATTATATAAAACTAATTTATAAAATATTAAATATATCCAAACTAATTAAAAAATACAAAATTATTATGATACAATTATTAAAGAAAGAAGTGCAAGTAATCAAGCATAGAGATTAAATGGTTGAACGGGTTGCTTAACCTACACATCGACCCACCAGTCGTGACCCGCTAGTGAAGGAATTACAACTCGGACCTCCTTCCCATTCCACTATGACTCTCTTCTTCCTTACATCCCGTGACAATGGCCACGACTCAACACCACACACGAGGTGGGGGTGATTCTTGAACGTTATACACAATACTCATACATCATTACAGCTTAATGATGATCGGAGGTACTCTAAAATATGTATTAACCATAGAAAGGGCAAACTTGTAAAAGAGGCGTATGCATAGAAGTTTTGGTGGATAGATGTGGAGTTGGTGAAGGAAATCTGGTAGTACAAAGAAGACAAAAATCTCCACATGCGCCCCATGACTAAAACTATCACCGTACATAAAGATTCCTTTTTCTATGTAAAATTGCAATCAAACTTAACCCTTCAACTTTCTCTAGTGCGCTGTTCATATCTATTCACACCAAATCTCATCCGCAAATCTTTTCCCAATAACGTTTATTTAACCACAACAATTCACAACTAGGGTAGATTTTTTAATTTATTTTATAATAACTTTTATGTGATTAATAAAGGTTGATTTCCATTTTTAGCCTTGACACCAGCACAATCCTCGGTTTTCCTTATCTTCTCCATCCGCGTCTCTCTCAATCATTTTCAGAACATCCGCCATTGAAATCCAGCCATGAGTCGATCCAGCAAACTTGATATCATCGATTACTACTTATCTGAATCATCCACTATTTTCCCCCCATTTCCAAAACCCTCTGCGCTTCTAAACCCTACTTTCCCCTTTGAAGCCACCACTGAGCTTGATCTAGCTCTTGAACTCTTAAACCCTACTTTCCCCTCACTTGATCTCATGCCTCCATTTGATGACATTGACACCATCACCGATCTGATTCACGTCGAGAGGAGGACGCCATTCGGCACCTCTACAGCTCGGAAGATCATCACCAGGCGCCGATCCACAACAGCGGAATTGTACCTTAAGTCACTTTCCGACCGCGTCTCTGCTCTCGAGCAAGGGTTTGATCTGGCGAACGACGAGAAGGCGAAGTCCGATCGGAAGTACACTTGGACGGCGGAGATCAACAGTTCCGAGAAGGACGGTTTAGATCGGAAGTTCAAGTTGACAACAGAGATCAAAGGTGGGAAGAAAAAAGAGAAGACCAGTAAATGGACGGCTGAGATTAAAAGGAAGGGAGAAGATGCACGCAAGTACACTTTCACCGCGTCAACTGCCAATGCCACCATTGAAGATGATAGTGGATCAGAGAAGAAAGAGAAAGACAAGAACAAGAACAAGAAGAAAGATAAGAAGAAAGAGAAAGGACCTCGTATCGTAGAAATCCAAGGTTCGCCTGATCATGGCGCTCTTCTCATGAAAAAGGTTTCTTCCCTGATCCTTCGATTATGTTTCCCTACCAATCCTTCACATCGATTACTCATTTAAACCTTAATTGATCATTATTTAGTTGCTATAGAGATCAAGATCTGTCTCTGTGGATAACAATTTGAATATTGTGATAGGCATTTGGTAGAGCATTGGAGAGGAACAAAGGGAAGAAGAAGGAGTTATCACCTCAAGATGCCGCCATGTTTATTCAGATGACTTTCCGAGCATATCTGATCAAGAGATCACAGACTCTCCGTGCCCTACGTGATCTAGCTGTTGCAAAGGGAAAGCTTAAGGAACTCAGGACTCTGTTCAACAATTTCTCATACCGTCGCCGGGTGGCTGTCGATGCAGAGGAGAGGCAGAAGTTCTCTGAGAAGGTCATTGTGCTGCTTCTCACTGTTGACGCCATTGAGGTAAACTTTTGCAAATTTTCTCCCATTGACATGATGAGTCTTGTAATGTGTAGTTTTTGAGGGAATGGGTTTGATTGTGGTAGGGGGCTGATATCATGGTTAGGGCTGCAAAAAGGTCGATGGTGGATGAGCTGGAAGCAATGCTAGACGTGGTGGATCCGCAGCCAGGAGGTGGTGGTGGTGGTGGTGGTGGTGGACGATCACTGTCCATGAAGAGGAGGACATTCGACATGCCAGATGGTGTGATCCAGAAGGAAATAGCACAAGGTGTGGCTGAGGTTGTACGAATGCTCGGACAAGAAGAAGAGTGATTGGTTTTGAAACCTTTGAAGCTTCTATGGAAGTCCATGTCCTTCGATGATGTCATGTTAATGAAAGACATATGCTGATGCTGAGTTATTGTGTTAATGTAGGCTTAAGGGACAACTGTAGTTTCAACTTTGTGTGTTGTTGTTGTGTGTGTCTTATGCTTCCATTTTATGGGAAGCACGTATTATTTTGTAAGGTTTGGCTAGTCTAATATTGCATCTTGTAACCAACAATTGATTCATGCTTGGTTACTTTTTTTTAAAAAAAAAAAGATAGTTTTAGCTGAAAGGGAAAATGACACAAATGCCCTAAGAATTCTTTACGGTTGAGGCCCTAAAGTTTTTGTTGGATTTTATGGGTGTCTACACTAGAATATGACCTGTTCTTTTGGTCCCTATCAATCTGTAATAATCTGTTTAGTGACATTTTAGATCAAAAAAACTCACATTGTATTCCTATAAAACCAAAAAAAATAAGTTAAACTCACATTGTATTCCTATAAAACCAAAAAAAATAAGTTCGGGGTCAATATGAATTGAATGTGAATTGGTTTTAAAAGAAAATTAGAGTTTTTTTTTTTTGTACGAATCGATCTATGAATTTATTTTTTTTGTTTTATATGGGTACAATGTGAACTTTTTTAATCTAAAATGTCATTGAACCGGTATTAGAGATCAAAAGAGCAGATCATATCTTAGTTTAAGGATCTATAAAGCCCGACAAAAACTTTAGGGGTTCAAGGGGTAAACCATAAAAAGTTTGTAGGGCGTTTGTATCATTTTCCCTAGCTGAAAATATAACTTTTGGCTTATAAGCTAGTTAATAAACTAATAGAAATGGGTAAAAAGTAACAAACTAGCCCATAAGGGAGAGATTTAAATTTTAATGACAGAAAGACATTTAGATATGTGGATTTGAAAGTATCTTAATATATATTTTTTTAAAACTTGCAGAAAAAGTTCTATAGGGTTTATCAATAAGGTATCTCACTAGTTTTTTTAAAAAACTTGGGTTATAGGCTTTTTTAGTACTCTCGTGAATGCTATGTTAGTCAAAAAAGAAGGTAGTTCATACGTGTCAACCACAACTTTAATCAACTTACATGATCATATTCTTTTTCATCGGATTGGTGCATAACAAGTTTTAGTTCCTGATCCGACTTCTAACATCTAAAATGTGGTCTTGTTAAATTTGATTTGATATGATAACACCAAGCTGGTTTCGGATTGGATCTACTTTTCAATGACTCTTTTTGTTGCACACCTCAACTTAAGAACCCTTTTTATAGTGTGTATTTTGAATTAATTGGGAACTTACAAGGACAATCTTGTTTATACATTTAGGCCTCATTAATACTCGTTGGTTCAATCTTTTGGAAAACATGAGTATTTCACAAAGATTGATGGAAAAAGTATAAAAGATTATTGTGTTAATGAAAACTGGTTTGAAGGAAGTTGTCACACAACATGAAGTGTTAGGGATATGAAATATTTGAGGCGGTTGAGAGTTCATGTCCTATGATAGCTAAAATTTAATTTACAAGTATGATTTAGAGGATATGTATGTAACGTTCTAAAAATTGAAAAGAAAACATAATTACTTAGACTATGTGGTGTGGGCAATTTGAAGTGGTGTGATAACAAGAAGCAATAAGATGAGGGGGTGGTGTTCATGGTGTTATAACACCATGTTAAGAGGAGAGAGATAGAGAGAGATAATTTGGCAGCCAATAGATGATCATGTTTCTTCTTGTCATGGAGGCAACAAGAACCACCACAACAAGATGCAACAAGAATAAGGGGTGGTGTTTTTGATGTTGTAACGGTGTTATGGATTGTCAACTCAGCCACAACAAGAACCAACACGACCCACACCGTATGCTCTTAAATTCATTATGTTTAAGTAAGTTACAAGACGTCCACTATACATTAAACATTTTTACAATCTCACTTGAATAGAAAAAAATCACATAAGGTTAGCCTCATCTATGATTTGCTCTACTCAAATTAGATTGTGCAAATGTCTAATGAATAGGGTTATGAGTTAAACACTTGTACAATTTCATTTGCAAAGAGGAAATTAGAGAGTGGGAGCCTCATCTACGGTTTCATGTAATTTATATGATATATCCTTTTAACTAAAATGAGATTTCCTCTAAGTTATTTGGAATTTCTTTTAATTAATATGGGATTTCCTGTAACTCGTGTAGGATATCTCTCACTCATTTGAGATTTCCTATAACTCTATAACTCATATGAGATTTACTCTAACTCATTTGAAAATGTAAAGATGAAGATATTTCTTTTTCAACCTTGAATAGTATGAGCTTATGGGCTCGGAGCATGATAAAATCGCAGGCCAATAAGGAGCACCTGCGTTTTTAGTGACTATTTGGATAATTTCTTTTTTTTTTTTTTTTGGCAAACATTTAATAAATTAGTCTAAATTTGTCTTTTACAACAAAGTATATGTATCACTCTCTAAAAACATTAGAATTCATGCTAGACATTAAGCAACAACAATGACAATAGCTTCTTCGGCTTATTCTCAATCTCATCGAATACTTTGATTAATATAAAATTATAAAAATATAATATCAAGCATTTCATTCTTGAAACATTCTGACTTCCAAATGCTCTACATTTGTACATAATTTCTAAGGGTACGTATATCAATACATATCATGAATTCATCTAAGACTACGGAAGCGTGCAAAAAGCTCATTTGTTATGTATTGGTGCTTTCCGGTGAGGTGGTTGATAGTCTGTTACTACAATGTCGTCATTTTCTGAATGCTTAACTTCTTCTTTTCCTGGGTAACGAGATACACTTGGTTTTTTTGAATCCTACAAATACATCAAAGACACAAATATTTTATTCTATGTGTTCATATTATTTTAAAAATCGGTTTTAGTCATCTTAAATAAGTTTTCTAGTTTGATTGCGTACATTCTAAATTTATTTATTTATTAATTTAAATATTTAAATATTGGAGGATGCTAAGGTCACATGGTCAAAGGTCAAGGTCAAAAGCCTCCTTACATTATGGAAGTCTTTTACCTTCTAACCAACATTTTATTCGGAAAAGTGGAGCCAATGTTTGGTTGATTCGAAATTCCAAGCAATAAAAAATCATATATAATTTACATCAAAATATAAGTATATATACATGAATACCTTTTTTTTCTTAAACAACTATTTATAGCTCATTTGAAAATTAAAGTATGATGTTTAAGATAGTTCGGTGTGACATATTTTAATACATTTTTAACTTTAACAACTAGTTTCTTATGAAATTACTATGATCGGTCGCAAGTGTTAAAAATTCATTTTATATATATATATATATATATATATATATATATATAATATATATATATATATATATATATATATATATATATAATTGCATTAAAAATAATTCCCGACCAAATTATAAAACTTCTTATAATCAAAATTCTGAAAAGTTATAGGTAAGATCCTCCAGGTTTGTGGGTGTTTATTAAAAAAACATATATATCAAATTAATTAACTAATACCTCTACATGTTTTCCCTTTAGCAAAGCCACATGATGGAAGGAAGAAGATTCAACAATATCACTTCCTGCATCTGCATGCCAATCATTCTTGCTTAATTAGTTAAAAAAGACAATTATAAAAAACTAGATATAGTAGTTTTGGAAATAATCATTGAACTATCGGACCAAATTCCATCGAACATGCCAAATATCATTATAAATCACCAATCATACAAAACTCATTTACAAACTAACAGATTTATAAACATGACCAAAATCAATAAAATTTTGTAAAAAAATCACCATCTTTATATGTCTCATGATCATCTATAAATTTCTATAAAATATAAATCTCAAAAACGATTAACCAATTAATTGTGGGAGGGTGGACGCGTTCTTGGTCTTGAATAATCCGAATAAAGCACACCAAGATGTTCTTTGTGAGATGAAAGTGAAACAAAAGATTTGGTGTGTGGAATTAGATCCACATCACCTTCGTCTTTAACAACTACCCCACGAATCTTCTTACCGTTTTTTTCATTTCCTTTCAGCGATTCTCCAAATTCAGCCTTTGAAAATGGAGTTGCAGGAGGCCTTATAACTGGAGCCCGTGTTCTTTCAACCATCTCATCGCCACCATTAATCTTTTCTGCAATCTGTTTACAAGTTGAACATGTAAATATTAGCATTTTCTTCCTTTTATCATGAATACGATAAAACCCTAAAGTTATAAGAGGTTGTAGAGAGAAAGAGAAAGATGGAGAGAGAAACCTGAAGATGATGTGATTTTATTGAAGATTTATGTATAACGATGGTAGGAAGAAGACGAGCGTTGGAGGAATGCATGCAAATAACTAGAAAAAAGGAGGTAAGTAAAACTAGAGAAGCCATTGTAAACCAAATAAGGTCGGCACTTGGCAATAAATAGAGGAGGAACCACCTCTCACATCAAATGATCAAATGCTTAAAAAAATATTCAAAATAACTATTTTTTATTTTTTTTTTCTTTTAAGAAATAAGGTCATAAATCAATGAAAGTATGAAACAATGACAAATATGGGCAAAAAAGTTCCGATTTCAAACAGGAGAGAGCTCACAACCAAAGCACCATAAACGGGCCATGTGGCCCACGGGCCAATGTAAGGAAAACGATGGTTTACCCAAACTCAGTAATCTACCATTTTTTGTTTTCCGAAAAATCTGGAGATTCTAATTATTCATGTGTTTAGGTAAACGAGTTAATTGATAAATATTATAAAATCTGGAATGCCTGGTGATTCTAATTATTCTCGTGATATATTTATACGAGAGGGGTCGAGAGAAATTAAAAAAAAAAAAAAAAAAAAAAAAAAATGTTAGTATGTTAATACATTGATCGAGCCATATACACATTACATCCTTATATTCGGATCAACTCAAAAATAATTCTACATGTAAAATACTTAAGTCGGTAAGTCTAATAAATAATAATAATAATAATAATAATAATAATAATAATAACCCGTTTAAGTTTATAATACTAAAACTTTTGAAAAAAAGGTACATTTCCATTATTTTATGAAATAGTGAGGGGTTCGTGACATGTTTAAAAAATAAAAAATTGGGTTGAAAAGACACACACATGCAAATGAAGGGTTTTGACAAGACTTGTGAACTCCGATACCAAATATTCACACGTTCAAGAAAGGTTTGTGCCCTCCTTGTCCCCCATTTCCCCTTCATCCTTCACTTTCAACATTTGGGCTATCTATACTCGCTCTATAATTCTCTGCTCATGCTTCATGCTATATTAACCTATACTATCTAATTAATAAATTAATCATATTTCTTAAGAAATTAATGACATATATATATGATTAATCAACATTATAACGTGATATAGTTATTGTAACCAAACGATAACTAATCGTAATATATACTTTGTTGATGTTTTAAGGATCAAATGCAAAAGAACAATGTGTACTTATCTATCTATATATTTATATTATGTTGTTTTCATTTTATTACATGTATTTTTATTTCAATTTTCATATTAATGCAATGTACTTTCAATTTCCTCTTATAACGATAACCTGCTTTCAAATATCGACCAAATAGTTTGCATTTGCATTATAAGGTAGATATTTTATAACACAGTGTTATAATAGGAATAAATGATGGTAGAGCGCTCACTAAAACTGCAACTATTTTTGCATTTAAAATATGGGGGTTTTGTAAGACAGTAATACAACTCATTATATTATTTTGCTATCAAGCACCCACACATGCCATTAACAATGTATTGCACGGTTGTGAGATTTAACTTTATAATCTTCAGAAAAATTTTAGCCATTTGTAAGGCCAGTGGGACAACTATATGGGTGGTTCAAGTGAAATTGAAATTCAGTCTTATCTTATAAACCACCAATGGATAAAAATGAGTAGGGTTATAGGAAATATGTATGTGGCTTAAATTCAAAGATGAGGGGTCAACCAGGGATGCACAACCAAACTGGATCACTGATTTGAAACCGATTTGATCCGATCCGAAAACCGGTTTTGGTCAAAATCGGTTATTGACCAAACTTGATTGAATAATTCGGTAGATCGGATCCAAACTGGTTCGACATTGCAGATTGCAAATCGGATTTAACCCCAGATCGTAAACTGAATTCTCGAAAAACTGGATCTTAAACTGGTTATGTTTATAAGATCATTGATTCCAAAGATTAATAACATGATTGTTGTCAATAATTTCCATCGTATTAGTCTCATCGACATTCTATAGAAGATCATTGACAAAGTGTTAGCTATGCCTCTTGCTATTCTGATTGATTGTGTTGTTAGTTGCGAGGAGTCTGCCTCCGTGAAAGGATGCATGACATATTCTGGATAGGTCGCTCATGGTAAATGAAGTAACCGAGTGGTATAAGAAGCACTCACCGAGCTACATGGAGCATTGGGGGTAGGTACTACAACATCCTCAAATAAATTGTTTTTATGCATATAAAAAAAATTATTTGTAAATATCTTCTATGTTATTGTACCCCTAGCTAAAGAGATTATATCATGTTTTTAATGCCCCAGATATGATAATTACATAAAATATTTATTGATAATGTTTGTACCCCATATAAAAATTTTGTGCTCCGCCACTGATAAGAAGAAACAAAAAAATGATGTTATTGAAGATTGATTTTGAAAAGGCTTATGATTCGGTAAGTCGAAAAAGAGATTCTCATTTGCTAAAATTCATGGAGAACTTGATATTGGAAGTTTGTTGGATTTCATTTTTTCTCTTCTCCTGAAATAGAGGTGGAGGTTCTTGAATATTGAAAGTTTGTTTTGAGTTAAAGTAATGAAAGATTTGGATGGAGTTCCTAGTGACCTTGACTAAATCTAGAACCGAGTTATGGGTTTAAGTATTTAGGCTCGGGTTGTGTATTCTAATTATTGGTTTCATAATCAGGGTGTGGAGATGGACTCGTTTTTAAAAAGAAGATATGGTAATGGAATGGATACTAAGTTTTGACTTCATATCTAAGTAAGTGAACAATAATTATCTTCTAGGTTTCCAAGGCTATTTGGTTTAGAGATTGTTAAAGATTATTCGATGGCTAATAGGAAAATAGATGATGTATGGTGTTGGAGTTAGAGACATCAAATCTAAGGATGTGAAAAGATCAGGCAACTCACGGTTTTGTTGGCTTGTTTGGATCATGTGGATTTATCTACATAGCAAGATAAGTGGTGGTGGGATGTTGGGGATGATGGCTCGTTTATAGTTAGTGATACTAGAAGATGGATTGATGAGGTGATTCTCCTACTTCAGATCAGGAAACTAGTGAGATACTTTATTTCCTTGAAAAGTTAATATCATGATTTGGAGAGTTTTGTTATATAGGATTCCTGCTAGATCTAATCCAGTGGATCGGATTTTTATCCCTAGTTGTGTGTTAGAGGTGGAACAACTTCATCATTTGTTTGTGAAATGTTAAGTGACGGCTAAAACCTTCTGGAAAAATAAGACAGTGAAATTGTTGATTCCATTCGAGAATTCTCATTTATTTGGTTTTCTAATAGGACTAGAAAATGTTCACTTTCTTGGATTAATTGGTTACAAAACCCCATGGATTAATTGGTTACAAAACCCCATGAACTATGTGTATTGATTCACTCTATCTCTTTCTTAGTATTTTTTTTCTTTTTTTAATATATGGTTAGCGATTAAAAAAATAATTCTTTTTAATATTTGAAAATTTTTAAAACGTTGTATCAATGTTACAAGTCTAGAGACTTTACTCAATAAAATTTCCACATCTTTTGCTTTGCACAGAACAAACCTTCACTACATTCGTAACCAAATCAACTCTTTCACTTTTACTTTTAATACTTTTTTTTTTACATTTATGCTAGAATTATGGCGAATGCCAAACACTTTTTGTGGTGTAACCGATGCTACTAGTGACACATCGGGTAGTAGTGGAGGTCGACCGAATTTTCTTATCGACCTTTATAACTACCTTTTAGAGGAACAAAACAAAAGAGCACACACATTAACCCTTATTAGTGAACTTGAAATTTATATAGGGTCAAACTTCCCAAAATTAATGATTGCACCACAATTTTAAATTTTGGATCTTTTGGCTTGGTGGAGAGAAAAGAAAGTACAATTTCCAATTCTCTCTGTTATGGCCCATGATATACTAACGATGACCTCCAAAATTACACCTCCACCACCATGAGAGTTATTTCCAAATCGGATGTTGATCGAAGCGAACACCCAATCATAGATGATCCATATCAAGTTATTATGTTTTTCTAGGAAGTAATTTTCTATATTGATCTTTTAAGAAATAGGTAATCATAGTTCGTTCAGTGTCAAGGTTGTTGTGGAAACCTCTTGGCTCCGCAATGTTCTTAGAGACCTTCATTCTTCACCAACCAAAGCCTTTATCGTCTATTGTGACAATTTGAGTGACATGTACATGTATCTAGGGTAATATTAACTCCCCAAACAAATTAAGATAGACATTCACTTTGTTTGTGATCAGGTTGTTTTGTAATGAATCTAGGTCCTGTAAACTAAAAGTTGATATCAAACCTTGTACACCAAGGTAACAGAAAGAAACAAAGAGTTGATTCTCTTGTGAACACTTACAAGAAAAAAAAAACTTCATGTGATATTTTATTGATTAATTAAAAAACTAAAACCTACATATCTATTTATACTAAAGATATTAGACTCCTATTCGAGTAGCAAAATTTAGAAAAGCTATTGTCTATAATTAAAGTTTTCCTAACATAAAACAAACTTTCCTATTGACCAATTAATCCAACAATCACCCCTTTAATCGGTTAAGCCACTCGTTCAAAACACTATCGATTCCTCTTCGATTAGACCCGTTTCTTCCTTTTCCCATTTAGGACACTCGTTTTTATAGTACCCAAGATCACCACATTTGTAACATCTAACGTGACTTTTATCCCAGAAATGTTCATTACCATCTCGACTTCTCCCGGACCCTGACCTTTTCCCCAGTCACGTCCAAAGGCATCCCGATTTGAATTTCCATTGCCACAATGCTTACAAACATGTGACTTTTCCTCACTAGCCAACAACAACCCACCTTGAGTTTCCTCCACTTTCTTGGTTCCTCTTATACCCTCCTCGTATGCCTTCAATCTACCAACCGCTTCATCAAATAACATTGAATCTAACTCGAAACATTGCTCTATTGAAGCCACGATTTGAAGAAGTGTCTTAGGCATTAAATCTAGTAACCTTTTTACCAAATCACTTTCTTCAAGCTCATATCCAAGACTCCTTGCTTTTGAAGCTAAACCACATGATTTTGTCACAAATCATCAACCGTTTCACCCTCCTTCATGCGTAAACTTTCAAGCTCTCTCTTTAATGTTGCAAGTCGAGGCGTTCTCACCCGATCCAC